TATCTATCTATCTATCTATCTATCTATCTATCTATCTATCTATCTATCTATCTATCTATCTATCTATCTATCTATCTATCTATCTATCTATATGATAGGACGGCACTGGTAACTGAGAGGCTGGCGCTGGCAAATGAGGAGACTATTCATTTGCATTAGCATTGGAGAGGCTAACGACTAGTGTGGATAAGCTTGCGTAAAAGTGTCTGTTACATGCATATTCTTCAAACACAAAAAGTCAAAGAAAACATCTTAATAGTTAAGAAATTTGGAATAATCCACACAATTTTACCCATTTTGTCCCATAACTGGCATATTTTCTTTTGAACTTGGCTCAGCCAAAGTGAAACAGGAAGTGACATCAAAGGGGAACTCTTTAACAAAGAAAACTCACTGGTCTTTGTTTATTGAAACAATATTATTTGAACTCTGACTCATCTTCATCTCTCTGATAGTGACTCAAAATAATCTAAAGAAACCTCAGATTCTTCTCTACAGTCTGGGTTGTCAGCCATTTTAGCAAAGCTCTTTTCACATGCAGACATTCCACTTTGACATCACTTCCTGTTACTTCACAGGCAAATATTTCAACAACTGTTCATCTCAGCTACATCAATTTTTTTTTGCAATATTTTATCAAAGTCCTCTTTCTAAAAATGCATTCATATGTATTACAAAAATGGATAAGGGCAAACGCAGCTGCTAATTTCGGTGGCAACTAAAGCAGTCTGCTTCACAGTAATATGTTTTATGTTTAATATTTATGCTTGACGCCATGTTGAACAGAAATTTCTGTCTAAGTGTCAGTGCTTGTTGCTTATAGGTTTTGTCTGCCAACCGTTTTTGTTTAGAAAGTTTCCTTTTATTCATAAAAGTTTGTGTCTAATAAAGGAGCAGCCTAAACATGCAAGTCACGAGACTCTCCAATGCTAATGGCTGTCTATCTATGCCAATGGACAGCGGAGTGAGTTGGCAATGCAGTGGGTCACTAGCCTCCCTGATGCTAACGCCAGCCTATCTATGCTAGTCACTAGCCTCTCTGATGCTAACGCCAGCCTATCTATGCCAATGGCCAGTGGAGGGTGTTGGCAATGTCGCTAGCCTCTCCAAAACTATCTCAAATGAATAGCCTCCTTCTCATTTGCTATTGTCGGCCTCTCAGTTACCAGTTCCGGCCTATCATTAATCAGATCAATAGCTGGCTTGGGATTAGATATAGCCTCCTCCAAGGATGTAGCAGCCGCTGGTTGTGCAATAGTCTTAAGTTTGGCCCTCATACCACGCCATACAGAAGCAACTCACCTTTAAAGCTCTCTTGTACTGATCAATATTTTCAGTCAAAATTGGAAAAATGTAGTTTTATTTCATTGGCTGGTGTTTCTGTGTGTGTAGGTATACAGGACACAAGATGAAGGGCTACAAACTTGACTGCTGCCTGTCCAGTAAAGACACACACGTCCTGAGCTGTTCAGAAGATGGATATGTTTATTGCTGGGACCTTGTGGAGGTAATTACACATTTTGATCATCATGTAGATGTTTCAAAATTTAAGACACATTTCAAACCTAACGGCACTTCATTCTACATCCGAGTTCAGACTGACTCGTTTTGTCTATTTCTTCCAGGGGTCTTTGTCCTTAAAGCTGCCGGTGGGGAAAGGGGTTGTCCAGTCATTGTCCTTCCACCCCACAGAGACCTGCCTCCTCACAGCCATGGAGGGACGAGTTCAGGTGTGGGGGGCCAAGCCGGAGGAGGCACAGGATGAAGCTATGACCTAATAACAGTCAAATGGGACTCGAATGTTGAGAGGAGCTTAATTTCTGTTTAACAAGCAGGATTTTCCTACTCGACCAAACTGATGTGTTTCGTGGTTGCTTGAAACGATCTTTCTGCCATGTTCATTGTCTGTAAATATGGGATTTTTGAAGGTTTGATTCTTGAGTCAGCAGTAAAATGTTTTTTAAAAAACAACAGTTTCCAGCTGACTTAGTCCTGCCAATCACATTATGTTGGAGAACGTGGTTTAAGTGAAAAGGTCACAGGTCAGGGGTCAGATTTATAAAGGATTGCGTGGAAACCAAAAAATGAACGTATGACCAAAAGGCAAAAATGGCGTACGCCAAAAAAAATTTCAGATTTACAAAAGAGTGCGTACGCACATTTCTGCGCACCTTCCCTTCATAAATCCCAGCCGCACGTCAGAGTTTGTGCACAAGGTCCCGCCTCAGGTTCTACCCTCTACACGCCCACACTCAACCATAAACAGTCAATGCAAAGTACCTCATGAATGTTAAGATGTATTTAAATCAGTCAGCTGATCAATGTCAAAAGAAGTGATTGGCCGACTCAGACACGCGCTCCGTCATGCGTCTTAATGATGACAGGTGCTGACAGCTGCTCACGTGGACAGAATGTCTGTAACTGACAGATTTTCCTTGATTTTGCAGGTTTACAGATGTTTAGAGTAATCTAACGATTTTTATCAAAAACTCAGCTTCAAATTAATTTTCTCTGAGAGCCTGCAGGATGYTAAAAACAATAAATAAAATTAAATGTCAGATAAACTTAGAAATAATTTCACCACTCGTCTCCCCGTCCTCCCCCTCCTCTGTTATCTGCGGCAGACCCCCCCCCCACACACACACACACACACACACACACACACACACACACACACACACATGCGCGCGCATTTTGCGTGAAAAGTGGCGTAATCAAGTTTCTGGGCTTGTTTTGTGCGTATGCAAGATTTATAAATCTGACCCCTGAGCTTTTGAGTTAATTGTGTAAGAAAAATAGCACACAATTCCTCTTTTTTAATCAGTCAGGTACTGAATCAAAAAGTACAAAAGGCTAATCTTGTATATTTGAATGTCAGTGGCAAAAACTTTGGTCAAAAGTGATCTGGTCTAAATTAGAGCTATGATTATTAGTTTTTTAATATTTAGAAGCTATTTTTACATACCTATAATGAAGATAAAAAGACAAAAAAGGGCTTTATTTACAGTTCATGATTTTGGTTTGAATTAAAATGGATTCTTTTACCAGTTTTTTCTACTGCGATTAAAAAGTGTACTGGAAACATTCATACATTTTGAAACACTGTAAATGAAACCACATCATATATTTTATATTTGTACTTTAATCAAATTCCTGTTCAGAGTCATCAGTACATTACAAAATGTATTCTCATCATGTGTTATACTTAAAATGAACATAGAAAAAGGCACATTGCAAAATAAGTTAATCAGCCAGACAAAAAAAAGAAAAGAAAAGTAATATTAAATAAATAAATAACTCGTTGGTCATAAATACATTTTGGAAATGGCTGAATCGTCAAATGTCTGTTGTAAAGACTTTCATTCGTCAGCGTTTGTCAACCTAAAACAATGCATTGACACATACTTATCTGTGTCTCCAAAATGAAAGTTTTTTTTTAAATAAATACAGTTTGTTCAAATCATAGCCAAAACTATTCTTTCAGATGTTTTCTTAAAACACCAAAAATGTAGAACAACACAAAGTCAACAGTTGAGAGCTTTCCTTTGTTGGAAAAAAGCTCTATTTTAATTTCCCTGCAGTTACCTGTTTTAAGTCCAACACGTAAAACAGCAAAGTTTTTACCCAAACATGGCAGAGAAAAATAGCTTTTGTTCTTTTAAAACATGGCATCAGTAAATTTGACCAACATGCTGTTGTTTTTAGGTGTGTCTTCACTAATTGTTCACGGCTCCCTCACCTCCATCTGCGTTCAGCCCACACAGCCACAACCTGCAGCTGAGAGCTTCTCCACTTTGTGCCAGCGGTGCGAGTTATCCAGGAAGGCCACGTCCTCGTGGTGGGTGGGCCGGCAGCAGGGTGCGTTGTGCCACAGCTCTCCGGGCGCTGGGTGGGGGAGCAGTCCGGTCAGCTTCAGATTGGTGAGCGTCAGGTCGTGGTTGGAGCGAGCGTGGGGGCACGTTCCGCTACAGTATTTAAACAAGACGGTCTCATCGGAGTCGTAGCCTAACCCCAGGTCTCGAACCTGCAGCTGGATCGACCGCAGGCCACAGTTGGAGTCTGGAGACGAGCGTCGGGTCCGGGCTGGGATTTGGATAATGGGAGCGGAGGTCGTCTCAACACCTGAGGCTTCCGTTATGTTGTCCAGATCTGGCAACGAGGACATTTGCCGTTTCTGACCTGGAAAAGAGAAACACATCTCGTATGGGGAAACTCTAGGAAAAGTAGGTCATGACCTCCTCACTTTAGCTGTCACTTACTAATCAGTGATCTTAGCCAGTGGCCTTCTCCCTTCTGGACGCAGAAAAGAATGACGGCGACCTTCAACAAGGACCTCATGGCTGAGAGTCTGTTCTGTGTCTGAGCGATCCTGTGGAATCAACCAGAGATGTTTGTGCAGCGTATCTGCAGGTGCGAGTGATGCTTAAGATGCAGACGAGTCACAACCTCCAATATATAGCCCTCTGAGATGAAGGGGGGGAGACAGACACTACCCCTTGCTTGCCAACTGACTATCCCACTCACCTGAGGCTGACAGCGAGCGGAGGAGGGCAGGCGAGCGCTTGACCCAGAATGTGTCCTGTTGGGATTATCTAATTGATGTAAATCACTGCTTTATTGTCCTACAGATGTTTTTCCAGACGAAGCTGGCCCCTAACCGTATGGCTTTCCCAAACGCTTCGGGTTCTCAAAAGCCGCTGAAGTGTGGACAGTGAGCATGTCAGATCAATGAATCAGCAGAGGTGCAGCTTGACAGTCAGACAGAGCTGCAATGATACACCATTAGACATGATGGAAATGTTGAAAACAGTGGTGAAGTCATCGCTGTGTTAACATAAAACATGTTACAAAAGAAACCAAAAGTTCAACACTTCAGAGTCTAAAATAAAAAAAAAAGAATCCAGAAGACGTTCTGCATGGGGTGAATTGTCTTAAACTGGTTCATAAATTGAGATATTCAATGTAGAGTACGTAAAATATGTATTAGGTAACAGTTATAAGGCCCATATATGCAATGAATGGAATTTAGACAATATATATATATA